AGCTCGAGGAACGTTTCGTTGGTTTCATGAGAAGTGGCAGGTCCAACAGAGCGCGAAGAAACAAAGGTAAGGAGCGATGTTTGTGCAACGCTCTGCAAGGGGGGGGGGGGGGGGTGGTCCCGTGCTGAACACAGCAAGGGGCAACGCAGCGCTCACGCCTCTCACACCTCTCCCACCGCACACCCAGCCCGAACTGTGCTACGGAGAAAATAATAAAAAAATCCGTTTTGAAAATGGAAAATGTGATAGAAAGCTTTTGTTATCCATGATACGGGGGGGGGGGGGGAGGAGTTCGGTTAGATCGCGTAATATTATAAATGTGTCGTTAAAACCCGCCACCACCCGACACAGCTAATTAGTACGGATTGTCACGTAAACAGAACATGCCAATTCGTTACTTGTACAGCACAGAAGCGACCTAGCCATAAATGATAGCTCAACAAAGTGGCTTAGCGTGTGGAAATGTATATCAGCCAAATACTCTAAACGCGTGTTTCTAAATGTGGAGGGAGAAAACGGAGGACCCGGAGAAAAATCCACGCGACCACTGGGAGAACATGCAAACTCCAAGAATACAGCAGGCGTCAGGGTCTGGATCGAACCCACGATATCCTGCATACCAGGCAATGTCGCTAACATCTCGCCACCGCGACATATCTTTTTTAATCACAAACGGTACTTGTGCTGCATTCAAACCCGCACATTTCCAACTCGGTTTGACATTGGTTGTTCATTAATAAAACAACCAGAAGTCGCAATGTCTTTTACGATGGCACACCAACAGCTAACGAGGAAACATTAGGCCACGCAGGAATCGTACATGTAAACGGATATTCGAACATGCTGCGTTCTCGAATGCTGAGCAAAATAATATGAAAAGACAGTCAATACAGGAAATAAATTACTGGGAATAAAGCTAACGAATCCAAGACTGGAAATAGCATAAGCAATATATTAGTGATATTTGCCACTGCTCTCAAAGCACTTAAGGAGGAGCCTTCGTGGCTAAAAGCAACTCAGCTCCAACAAAGAGAATCCTAGACAGACAGATAATCTTTTCTGTGTCCAACAATGACATTCTTAATTTAAATATTTCTCAAATGAAGCCAACCTAAATAATTGGCATCGTTTTGCAACGAATGCCAAAAAATGCGTTTTTCCACGAATACCAATGTTTTCATGTCTTCCATTTATTTTCGAAAAATCTCAAAGAATCTTAAGACTTTTTTTTCAGGAGGCTCCTGCATTGTGATGATCGACAAAGTGTTTAGCATATGGGAGAGTACCAAAGTAGTGCACTCGGAAAACACACTGCGATCGCACTCCCATGTCCCAACGGATGGATTCACAAGCCCCACTCGTGCCACCTTAGAGCCCCGGCAGACTTTAAAGTTTCACAAACGTACGTGATCCACCAACACTTGCCTCCACGAGCCCTGTATTACAGGCATGTGCCACCAAGCCAAGGATAAAGATAAAATGAATATATAACACGAACACACTGTATTAGTGTGGCTTTTAAGCCACGGTGTAACATTTGACTCTCGTTGAACACCATAGAAGGATTACATTTATTTCAGCCCAACAGGCGTTGCAGTGACAGTTTCACAAGCACCGCTACAGATTACAATGTTCACCAAAGTCACGTGAACAAATCCCAGCGCCAGCGACACCGAAACTCAAACTACGGACGGATGTCAAGTAAAGAGTTCTGCTAAAAGTGACTGTGGGCTGAGAAAGGTGGAAAATATTGAGGGACAAGTGAACATCTTGGGAACATTCTCCTTATAATCCTGATCAAACACCAAATTTAGCAGAGTCAATGCTTTTGCTATGATGCTAAGCAGGTCACTCACACCTCAACAAGACATCCAAGGCCATAGAGATCATGTTGCACGAGCTTGGTTTTTTTTATTTATTAAAGTGCCAGAGTAGAAACTGGATATTAGCATACCGTATATAATCACAGTTCTGATATAATTAACACATCTTGCATTACACTAGTAGGGGGAGAGGCAATGGACAACTTCTCACAAAAGCACTCTACTTTGCATATAATCACAGCTGGCCTTGCTCCAAAGTGGTGTGTATATTTACAGCTTCAACCGTATTCGTAATGCATACGAATTCTCACGACACTCAGTTATGTCAAGTGCATCTACATCCTTATAAAACTGTTTCCGCTGCACACCGAGGAACGGAAAAAAAAACAAATATGCCTTTATCTGGCGACCCTCGCCAGAGAGAAATAATTTTAGCAGCTCACTGGGAAATGAATAAATATAATTACAATAATAATGGAAGACTACAAAGATAGGTTTACTGCACTTGTGTTCCGATGACAACCAAAACCCCACCGGACAAAGTTTGGAAAATATTTTTTAAAAAATTTAATCAAATGGAGCAGAAAGTAATTTGTTGTTATTGACAAAAAATTTTTACCGCACTGTAAATAATTTCCATACAATTCACTCCGTTAGACATTTCTGACTGGGGACATGCTCCAAAAATGCTTATGACGGGAAACGGCCACTGCATTTACTTTAAAGTATCATCGTTATGGACTCTTGAGTCATGACAAAGCGTATTACTCTACATTTGACGAAATGCATGCGCATTGATTTGTACAATCGTGAATAATTCTACCCAGGAGAAAGCCCTCTCTCTCTTTTGCTTAACGTATCCCATTATTTACTGCACGGTTGCATGCTGCCACGGTGTAATGGTTCGCGCAATGGACTTGCAATCCAGAGATCACCGGTTCCATCTCTCGGTGCGGGAATGTTTTGTTACCAATTTTTTGTGACATTTTTTTAATCCTACCCCACCCCTCCCCCCCCCCACAAAACGCATCTGTCCACCCAGCAGTATAAATGGGTGCCACAGTTAGTCGATCGGCAAATCGCGTGTCGTGCGGTAAAGTGTGTGTACTCCCACCGCTTCCAAGACGTCTTTGCCAGCGTGGAGGACTAGGCCAAATACGGTCTCAAAGAGTCTATCTGGAGCTCCCTATGGTGAAGGCCGTTGCTCTAGCAGTGGCCTGAGCAAGCCATTGCATGGCTGTGCCTTTAATGTAAGATTTATTTTCGGGAAGGCATGGCCGAGTATAGACTTCATAAACATTAATGCTTCTATTCTAAAATCGGATTTCCTTTCAAAATAAACTCATGGAGGGGAAGGAAGTAGCATTATTTCTGCTGTGGTCGCGACCCCTAAATAGCAATTCAGCTGGAAAAAGCTGTGATGAACGATGCATTGCACCAAGTTCCACCGCAATGCGCGAATTCGCTTTGATAAACTGCACTGCAAAGGACAATCATTTTAATTGCACTGCATATGACCACCGCATTGCATTAGGTAAATGGCGTGCGGCTACATCGTCACGGTGACTCATCAATGGGGCAGCGACACGCGCACTTTTAACCCTGGCACTCGAGGATCAGCGCGCGCACCCGAGCAGAGCAGCTGTGCGCATGCCTCGCACACAGCACATCGCAATGCAATGTGAGCTCGCATAGCGTTTCGATGCAAGCGCATCTCAACATGCTCTATAGACGGTTGGGCGTCTTTATTTCGTAGGGAGAGGCAGTCGGTCACAAGTAGAGATAGGCATGAAGGCGTTACGCCTGGACTTGATCAGGGGGCAAGATAATCGACATCACGGTTAGATTGGGAGGGGGGGGGGTAGTTCGTTCCTACACCTCTTTGGTATATAATTTACAGCCCCCTGCCAAATCGACTGATGAATGAAAAAGGCGCCCCAGATTGCGTTGGTCATCAAGGTCGTTTGACCATACTTCACCACGCGTGTTGGTGAAGGGGGGGAGAAGCCAAGCACCGGTTCGGATAATTATCGCTCGACACTGATGTTAGCCGGTGACCAGGGATGGAACTCAGGACACCCGTTTCATAGTGCAATGCGTTTAGCACTGCGGCACCGCTCGTTTAGCATGGAGAGTCTATACATGCAACAACACAGTACAACATTTCAGCTAAGCCAATGCCTTATAGCAAAAAAAAACCAGAATACACCTACATTCCTTAGCTACACAAACACGTGTATGCACCCTAAGCACACTGTAGTTGCTGCTGTGCTTATCCTTCACCCACAGCACGTTGCCTGTGGAGGCAGCAGACTCACCTGTAAGCTGTAAATGTTGTAGATTTTTCTCTCCAACACACCGGTGTGCTGTACTAGTAATTAATTGGCACGTTCTGTTTACGTGACAAACCTCACTCATTGGCTGTGTGGCGGGTTTAACGACACATTTACGCGATCTAACCCATAAAAAAAACCTCTTATGGATGATATTGGTCGCGAAAGCTTACGTGTTAAGCTGTAGTGCAGATAAAATTCCACACACCAATACAAAGCACACACTGCACTCTATCTCGGATACAGTATTTAATGGTGTTCCAGTGGTCCAATTGTTTTGTACATTTTAATCCCCTGCATTGTACCGTAAGGTGGCACGCGTCTCTCGAAACACACGAGTCATTTTAATACGTTGTACCAATATTGGCTCAAGGCTTACTGCGGGCGAATCAGCGGTTTAACAAAAAAAACTTTTGTTAATTCAAAGCATCCGCGAGCTTCGCGTGCACAACGGCAATTCGCGATCGCACGGGGGACCTCCTTCACTTTGAAACGCCACTTACCGAGGTGACTCGAGGGACTAAATTGGCCCATGTCACACGCGCGTTCACCGCTGGTCACAATCACGTGCCGCGCTCATTAAGTCAAATCACGGGCGCGCGTATTCACTAATTAGTAACCGTCTAAATTATCCTAGATGGAACACACGTGTGTCAGTTTAACACGTGCGCGTGTGTTCACGGCACAGCACCGCAAAGCAAATGCAGTGCCACTAGGAAGTCACAGAGGGTAACGTAACTGCAGTTGTATGTAACAGAACTCTACACAGTGAACGAGTGTTGAGTGTGTTGTCTTGGTGTGTGTGTACGTTTTACGTGTTTGAGACGTAGGATTCGTGACTCACGTATCGACGCAGTTTCTTCTCTGGGGGAGACTTCCTCAGCCATCCGCTACACATCACTTCTCCACTCATCGTGCTGCTGCTGGTGATGGTGATGATGCTAGAGATGACGATGCTGTTACTGTTGCCGCTACTGATGATTTTTCCTATTTCGTGTCAAACACCAGTATGTACGTCCGCGTGCCGTGCACCACACGCACGTGCGCTAAAAGATGTACGTGTACACAAATAAACACTGCGCTGCCTCTGTTAGCCGCAGTGTTCTCCTTAAGCCGAATAGTTGACGCTTGTTTCCATGCGCGCAGCGAAGCAGGTTCGAAGGTTGATAAACGCGTGGAGGAAGATGCCACATTCGCGTGTCGTCCTGCCCGTGCGTTTACGCGTGCGCGTCTCTCTCTCTGTGTGTGTCTGTGCGCGTGTCTCTCCCTCTGTGTTTGTCTGTGCGCGTCTTAGCGAGTGTGCCGTTCTCAACACGCCCTCTCGCTAACGCACGCGGAGTCCCGCCCAGTGTTAGTGAATGAGCTTCCACACCCCCCACCCCCGGCACCTCCTCCTCGTCGTCGTCGTCGTCGTGGTCCCTCCTTAGACTCGCGCAGGAAATGGCCGGAGACACCGAGGACCACGGAGACACGGGACGCGCGAGGCTGCCGTGGTAAGGGGAGGAGGAAGGGGCAGTTGCCCCCCTTCGTTACAATCATTGCCTTTCATCATCGCAGTCGCGCGCTCGGTGGACGTGCGATGAGCATGCCATGGACGCTCTTACGCCAGACCCAGCGTCATTCACTCATTTTCAGAGGAGGGCCGGGCGGGCACTTTCGCCGATAAGACGTCGGTTTGAGGACCGCCAACACATTAGAAACTACTGGGGCTTGACAGCAGCACGATGATGGGGTGTGGGTTGGGGTTGTTGTCACGCGTTGTGTATTCTCAGCAGCCGCATGTCAAGGGATCACACTGGAGGCCACAGGGGGGCCCGCCAGTGTCCCGCGGGTGCTTGCGATGAAGAGCGCTGTGCCAGAATCATTCCCAGCTCAGCCTCTCTGCGTGGGGTAGAGGGACGTATTCCTTGCGCTAACGAGCACGCAATGATCCACACACCGAGGCCACGCGAGTTTGTACATTTTGTATTGCTGCTTTTCGTTAAACAGGTCCCCGGTGGTTTTAGATGGAGTGCCCTCGTCAATAACATCTGGTAGCCCAAAGCCTGACCGCCGATGAGACCCAGAATGGTGAAATCGTTCCCGAGTTTGCCTGCTAAAAACAAATGCTGCTGAACTATATATGTCTGGACTAAAGCGTATTTTTTTCTTGATTTGAAGCTTTCGTGACTGCATGAATCCATACTCTTTGGTTCTTTCGGTAAAGACACGTAGATAGAAAATTAATTGATCACGGCGTTTCGATCGCGACACAAGCAACCGTCATCAGGTGAATCACAGCAGGAGAACTGCTGACGTAGGAGGAAACAATTACCGAAAGAACCAAAGAGTACGTATTTTATTTATTTATACGTGGAGTCTTCACCTTGAAGTCGGGGCCATCATGTGGCCGTGGGCCGTAAGAAATTAAGTCACGGGGCTAGCTAGGGACCGGTTAGCCACCTCTGTGCTCTGGACTTAAGAATTCAAAAAGGCCAGCCACTGTTACCTGCACAGGAGCGATTGACATGTTCGTGAAAGGCTCTCGGTCCGGTCTGATGACTGGGACTACGCAACTGGTTGTGGCAACACGGAGCGACTTGCCAGATTATCTCTGTTCATCCGTCGTAGACTTTGGACTGCTGAGACCCACTCCCAGTTTAACTGTCTATGAAGTCTTTCCATTCACACCTCTACTACAATTCCATATCAATTCCTTCTCAGGTCAGTAGAATTCTTCCCCATGTTTTTATCCGTCCCCCGCCCACCCCCTGTAAGCTCTCTAGATTTGCATGCTTCCCCAACTTGTGCAAGGGTCTTGATAACGCGGTCACATCTAGATGCTGTATAAATCCAATTAGCATTGAATACCTACTATAATCACCCAGGAATGTCTGTCCTTAACGCTCGTGACGTCACTCCACATCGACCAGCCCCCCCTCATTAATATTCATGAGCAGGTGACGTCCTCCAAATGGACACCCCCCCCCACCCCTCCTCATTCATAATCATGAGCGGGTAACGTCACTCAATATGGAGTACTCCCCCCTTCCTCACTAATAATCATGAGCAAGTGACGTCACTCCCCATCGACCAGCCCCCCTTCCTCCCCCCTCCTCGGCGTCAACTCACAACCCTCACTACAAAGGCAGAACCCTCACGTCACGTGATCTCCGTGACGCTGTTGTTGAGACATCGAAGTAAAAAGGACGTCGTGATGAACAAGGGATTATAACCTTTAAATGAACTAAGTCTGTGTCACCGCGCCCTTACAAATTGCACACGAATGGATGCAATGAATATATCACGTCGCGGTCTGATTTTCGCTTGCAAGTTTCAGATTTACTGCAATACACTCGTCCTTGGACGGGCAAACGGCTAGTTGTATGATAAATAAACACGCTGGGCTCATTGACTAACTTACCTGTTTAGGGGCATGAGGGGTAGGTTTGGTTAAGTTTGCCCTTCCTGCCTTTGTGTGGTTGTCGCCTGCGTGGAGGTAATTACTCTAAGTGAATCGTTTGTTACGTGAAGGCGTATCTTTGCATCTAAGTAAGCCAATCGATGGTTGCACGGCATTGAACGTACGACTTTACCCAATTTGCCTTGATAATACAATACCGTGTAAACAAGACTCACTTGTGTTGACAAAAGAAGATAATTTACAATGGAAACACAACAATGACACGTGACACTGTGGGATGTGGAGAGCCCACCGCTGTGAGTTGAGGTGCAACACTTGGACAGGGAATGTTAAATGAGTCGGGCGCGAACACAAATGTACGTTGAGTTAGAGTACACTCACTGTGAGTGTAGCAAAACAATCTATTGTTCTATTGTACTAGGCTCCCTGCCTTCACCCATCTGCACTAACCAGTGTGGTGAAGTGTGCACATCAAGCCAGATGACCTCCATTGTATGGAGAGTATCCCCGTCCAGCAGTGGATGGACAAAAGGCTGTACATGTGCAATTACACAAATTGTCACGAATCAGTCGCAATTCGATTCAAGAATCTACTCTTTGCAGAGATAACAGGTTGCCTCATAGTTCAGAGCACTGAGCTGGCACCACTGAATACTTGGGTTCAAACCCAGGCAAACATCTGCGATGAAACTGGATTCATGACATTTGCTTCCACATTTAATTTTGCTGAATTCCAGTGCTGAGATTTTTTTTAAAAAATCTATAACGGGTTGACTGATATGTGCCAAGCCATTAATCTCCGTGACAGGGCCAGTGGGAACGTGCTGCCCCCTTACTATGTGGACCTCAGAAGTAATTGTGTGAAATCCGCTTTCGTGAGATCTTCTCTTACACGAAGGGCGGCTCTGCGAGAGGCCCAAATCGATACTCCCGAGTTCAGTACCGAGTCCGTTATATGTGATGAGAGGCATCGAGGGAGCATTTTTCTCCAGAAACTCACCACTTGTCAGGCAGGATAATGAACAGAGCTAATGCCAGTGACCTCTGGACAGCTATTACCATAGCAAGGACCATCCAGCAGTCAACCCAATAATCTGCAGCCACATTAGGAGACACAAATTGCAATTACGCCTTAGACGCATTTTGTTTTACACATACAGTGAGGGAAAAAAGTATTTGATCCCCTGCTGATTTTGTACGTTTGCCCACTGACAAAGAAATGACAGTCTATAATTTTAATGGTAGGTTTATTTGAACGGTGAGAGACAGAATAACAACAACAAAATCCAGAAAAACGCATGTCAAAAATGTTATAAATTGATTTGCATTTTAACGAGGGAAATAAGTATTTGACCCCTCTGCAAAACATGACTTAGTACTTGGTGGCAAAACCCTTGTTGGCAATCACAGAGGTCAGACGTTTCTTGTAGTTGGCCACCAGGTTTGCACACATCTCAGGAGGGATTTTGTCCCACTCCTCTTTGCAGATCTTCTCCAAGTCATTAAGGTTTCGAGGCTGACGTTTGGCAACTCGAACCTTCAGCTCCCTCCACAGATTTTCTATGGGATTAAGGTCTGGAGACTGGCTAGGCCACTCCAGGACCTTAATGTGCTTCTTCTTGAGCCACTCCTTTGTTGCCTTGGCCGTGTGTTTTGGGTCATTGTCATGCTGGAATACCCATCCACGACCCATTTTCAATGCCCTGGTTGAGGGAAGGAGGTTCTCACCCAAGATGTGACGGTACATGTCCCCGTTCATCGTCCCTTTGATGCGGTGAAGGTGTCCTGTCCCCTTAGCAGAAAAATACCCCCAAAGCATAATGTTTCCACCTCCATGTTTGACGGTGGGGATGGTGTTCTTGGGGTCATAGGCAGCATTCCTCCTCCTCCAAACACGGCGAGTTGAGTTGATGCCAAAGAGCTCCATTTTGGTCTCATCTGACCACAACACTTTCACCCAGTTGTCCTCTGAATCATTCAGATGTTAATTGGCAAACTTCAGACGGGCATGTATATGTGCTTTCTTGAGCAGGGGGACCTTGCGGGCACTGCAAGATTTCAGTCCTTCACGGCAAAGTGTGTTACCAATTGTTTTCTTGGTGACTATGGTCCCAGCTGCCTTGAGATCATTGACAAGATCCTCCCGTGTAGTTCTGGGCTGATTCCTCACCGTTCTCATGATTATTGCAACTCCACGAGGTGAAATCTTGCATGGAGCCCCAGGCCGAGGGAGATTGACAGTTCTTTAGTGTTTCTTCCATTTGCGAATAATCGCACCAACTGTTGTCACCTTATTCTTAGTTTTTTCGGTAAAGTCACGTTGAAGAGAAACAACAAAATAACAAAATATATATAAAACAATAAAAAAATTCAACGTGACTTTACCGAAAAAACTAAGAATATGAATTACTGCAGTCACGAAAGCTTTAAATCAAAATTTGTTGTCACCTTCTCACCAAGCTGCTTGGCAATGGTCTTGTAGCCCATTCCAGCCTTGTGTAGGTCTACAATCTTGTCCCTGACACCCTTGGAGAGCTCTTTGGTCTTGGCCATGGTGGAGCGTTTGAAATCTGATTGATTGATTGCTTCTGTGGACAGGTGTCTTTTATATAGGTAACAAGCTGAGATTAGGAGCACTCCCTTTAAGAGTGTGCTCCTAATCTCAGCTCGTTAGCTGTATAAAAAGACACCTGGGAGCCAGAAATCTTTCTGATTGAGTGGGGGTCAAATACTTATTTCCCTCATTAAAATGCAAATCAATTTATAACATTTTTGACATGCGTTTTTTCTGGATTTTGTTGTTATTCTGTCTCTCACTGTTCAAATAAACCTACCATTAAAATTATAGACTGATCATTTCTTTGTCAGTGGGCAAACGTACAAAATCAGCAGGGGATCAAATACTTTTTTTC